TAACTCCAATCGATTCCTTATCAATCCCAAATTAATATAAGACCTGAAATTTCATCACGAGCACTGGGAAAAGCATAAAATATGATTAAGTGGGGTCGGTTCCCCTATGAAAACCTTCATATCAAGAATAGCTATGCCAAAATACATGTTTTGCAAATAGGAACGAAAATGGACATAAATAACTTGATATGTGGCCTAGACACGGTGATTTAACATGCAAATGCCTTAAGAATAAGGTCTAAATAACGCCTATTTTAGGTGTTATCAAACTCCCACACACTTAAGAGTGTTCTTGTCCCCAAGCCAACTTAACTCAAACTTGTACAACTTGCAAGATAAATCGCAATGGCATGCATAATAGATCGTCGATAGAGGGTCAAATAGCAACTTTCTAGGTCAAGCAGTCATTAAGAATTCTACCACCGATCTCTATATGAAAACACACTCCCGAATGGTGACCTTCCCACTAAAGAGGTCTAGACATCAACGGTGTGAACTGGGGGTTTTCTAAAAAATGATTAAAGCCATGGACTCTAGAAGGTGCTCTTTATTCTCTATTTCAAGGTAGGAGTTGTCATTTATCGGTCTCCTATTTCAACGTTGGCGTGCATTGCACCAAACTTTTTGCAAACTTTTTGCAAGAAAGCATCTCTCCTTCATAACCAAGAGCGGATGGATCATTGCCTTCCCTATCATGGTCAAATGTGAGGAAGTTGATGGGTGGATTTGTCTTAGCCCGAGCACCACTTCCCAGCCTGCACTCCACATTGGGTTGCCACACATGTTGGGTATAAAGAAGAGCTGAGGTCTCTTGAATCGCCAAAAGGTACTTTGTACCTTGCCATACGATTTCGTGAGGAGGAAAATGTTTGGGGGATGGTAAGTAGTGAGATGGTCGGGACGCGGTAAAGCTATCTGATCCCCAAATACATCCTCAAATGGCACTCCGAGCCAAGAGAATTTATCTCAAACACTATGCTCGGTTGCCTCTCACGCGAGAACCTCTTTTCAGAATATTTTTCAAAATTGAGCACATTTTTTCAAACATTTGGAGTCCAAAAGTAAGTATAGAATCTCGCACACATGTCCTCACCTAGATAGTGGACAATATCAACACATTCAAGAAGGAAATCTTAGGCCAAATTCCTTACTTCCAACATCCTCCGTAGCGCCACACTATCCTCCTTATCATTCATAACATCACAATTATCTAACAATTGAAAGCACATTGATTAGAGAGAATGCAAAAGGGGCCAACATGGAGCCCTCAAATTCAAAAAAAAAAGGTATGCATGCAGGGCTCCAAGTGGTTGAATCATGCTAAATCATCGTCCACAACCACTCTAAATTAGTCTGGGTTCCTTGAATATGAGTCTGGTTGTCTGAATCTGACTTGTATTTGAATATGGTATGTGTTCTTTGAATATGAGTCTGTGTTTTTTGAATATTACTCTGTTGTATTTGAATATGCCTCTAGGTGTCTGAATATGCCTCTTGTATTAGAATACAGTTTTGTGTTCTTTGAATATTAGTCTGGATTCTTTGAATATGCGTTTGTTTGTGTTTGAATATTACTTTGTTGTATTTGAATATGAGTCTGGTTGTCTGAATCTGACTTGTATTTTAATACGGTCTGTGTTCTTCGAATACGAGTCTGGGTTTTTTGAATATTACTCTGTTGTATTTGAATATGACGTTGGTTGTCTGAATTTGCCTCTTGTATTATTCATGCATGTCTTAACAAGGGGTTTTTAGCTTTAATTTTGTAGCTCCATTTGTTGGATTTTTTGAAGGCCAGAGGTGTTGGGACCTCAATCACCCCAACCTACATCTACTGGTTCAAGGATCGACAGACGAAGGTTGTTGAAGCCATCCACAACAGGGGCAGTGGGGGGATAGCAGATTTATTGATGACAAGAGCATATGTCCGACCGAGGTTTGGTGGTTCTATTGGAGAAAAAGGTCAAAGCAGCACACAGGCTCTTGAGTTTTACAACTCTTCTTGGTGGGAAAAGGATGACTTGGAGCGCCTGGATGAAGATCAGGTACTTTTTTATTTTTTTCGACGTACTAGATTAAGGTAGATTGCATGAACTAAAAAATTTTAACATACTTGTAGCTTAAGGTGTTGAAGTGCATGACTGAATCCATGTTCAATAAGTGAAAGGCGCGGCTTGCAAGAGTGGAAGAGGAGCCCCAATGTGGCGATTAATGTTTAGCGTTCATGAAATTGGATGTGATAGTTGTTAAGATTTGGGTAGTTTGAATACTTTGAATTATATTTCCATGTACTTTGAATACTATTCCCATGTGATCTTGTTTGGATGATGGACGAATGTTTAGCGGTCATGTTTGAATACTATTTGGATGAGATTTGAATAGAATATGTTATCAGTGTCCTAAATACTACTTTTCTATCTTTTTCTAGCTAAAGGTTTGTCGTAGTGTGGGTGAACATGAGGCGGGAAGATGGATGGAGTTGACCACACAAATTGGAAAGCTACTTGAGAAAATGACTGAAAAGAAGAAGAAGATGATGAAGAATAAGAGGACCGGCCATGAAAAGGCTAAGAAGAAGCCAACTGAGAAGGAGGTGCCTTCGCTCTTTATGGAGCCTCCTTCGCCATTTGTGCAGGAGGAGGAGTCCTTTTAGGAGCATGATCCGCTGGCCAAGGCTTCATCAATTGTGGAGGCCACTCCGGTTTCCATGGGTGAGTCAGTTGTGACGCCCACTCAGGTGGCCAATTAGCCGTCTTTTCTGACGCCCACTCCGGTGGCCAAGGAGCCGACCTTTGTGACGCCTACTCTGTTGGCCCAGGAGTCACCCACTCTGGTGCCCAAGGAGACGCCATTTGTGGCGCTCACTCCACCGGCCAAGGAGACGCCCACTCATATCAACATCCCACCGAAAGTGAAGACGAGTTGTACACCCCATCCTTAACTCATTTCTTTTCTTTTACGTTGTGATTTAACAACGACAGCGTCCTTCGGCCGTTTCTTATCAACCTTTGGATCTCTAGTACTCACCTTCGAATACCCTTGTTTGTTGCAACAATAGTAAAGGTATCAATACTTTTCTACAAGCTCTCCTTTGTTTTTCTTGCGCATCCTCGTGTGTTTGTTATGTAATCGAACACCAAAATCTCGGTCGTGACCATATTTTGAATAGAAGCTATAGCAGTCGTCACAGGTATTGAATTGAAAGTTCTTTATTAAGTTCTCATCTTCTAGTACTGCATAGCCTGCCATTGGAATTACAAATAAATACAATTAGTCAAATCCAACCAATAGTAATGTAAAAACAAAGTAATGCATCGTAAAAGGAACAAGTATTTAAGAAAATGTCAACTAATATTCTTTCACAAATGAATGTGTTTTTCATAAAAGGTCAACTAATACTCTTTCACGGATGAATGCGTATTTCACAAAAGGTTTACTAATATTCCTCCACAAATAAATGTGCATTTCATAAAAGGTCAACTAATATTATTCCACAAATGAATGCGTATTTCACCAAAGGTTAACTAATATTCTTCCACGGATGAATGTGCATTAAATAAATAGTCAACTAATATGCTTCTTAAAACCGTAAGTTTTATACAAACTATGTACCAAGTAATATTCTACTATGTGAAACTAATATTAATGAAAATACGAAGTAATATGGTTCTTGTGGCAAATATGTAATATATATAGTGAAGCGAGATTCATGTTTCTGTTCGTCCACCAACTCATTTTCATGACAACACGAACAAGTATTCATGCATGCAAACTTAGAACACCATGCAGGCGTATACCATAAATGTTTTACCCAAACATCATAAATGCAAACCCTAACTCCAACCATATGAACACATTCAATGTTAAACAACAATCAAAACATATATAAGTCTACATGAATCATCTTTTTTTGGTCTTCACATACCCCATTCTATTTCATCAACTACAACCAGCCAATCTTGTGAGCCCCACAAACCATCAGATGAACCATCGGCTTTGAGGATGGTATCAGAAAGGTCGACCTCTTTTGGTTCATCTCCATCGACATTACCTCTATTGACATCAGTCAACCTATCTTCAAGATCGACTGCTTCTGGTGCATCTCCTTCGACACTGTCTCCCATCTTTGACAGACTATCTTCCTCTGTTGTATCTTTCTTCTCCTTGAACCCTTAAACCCTCTTCCTGCGAATTTATGGTGTTCTTGCTTCTGGTCTTCATTGGCGGACGGGAGAGAAAAAGATGAGGAAGAAAAGAAGTGTGAGATGAGAGAGAGAAGTTGGTAGGTGAGTGTATTAATGGAGGGTTTTTTTGGGGTTGGATTTTTTCGCCAAAAATCCCGCCAAAACACCCAAAAAAAATGCCCATACCCACCATCACCCAGCTCATTGGTGCACACAAATTCTCCTATGTGCACCATAGCGAAATTGGACCGCTGCAATATACCAGGTTGGAGGTCAAACTGTGTTGTTTTTTCGTATGATTTATGAAATGTGCATATTTTCTTGTTGACATTTTTGCCTAATCCAATCTTTGAAATTCTTAGATGATCATTGGAATATTGATGTTATATAAGTCTGTGAATTTTCACTATATGCTGGATCCAAATACAATATGGGTGCGTTTGGATAGCTGAATTTGAAATATATGTATTTGAATTATATGTATTTGAAATGTAAGTATTTGAAATGTATGAATTTGAAATACTTATGATTTAAAATTCATTGTTTGGATAGATGTGTATTTCAAATACATGATTTCAAATACCAAAGATGTAAATTCTACCGTTTGGATATATAGTTGCAACTTTTAGGTATTTCAAATAATTATTTACTAGGAGAATGACACCACTGCTGAGAAGGTTAAAGCTTGGCTACATATAATCCTCCTTCCAAATTCTGAACATAGCTTGTGAGTAATAGATGGATCTAGAAATGTCAATCATTCATCTACCAAAAAGGTGGGTCTTCAAAGTTCCAGACTCTACAAAGCAAAGGCAACTAAGGCTCACCAAGAAAACACTCAACAAAGATTCTTCTATCTTCCTTTGGAATTTCCAGCAGCAACTTGAACTGCTCAGGATCACCAGATCGGTACTTCATCGCGGCTTTGGCAACCTCCAAATGCGTCAACCCCGGTATCTCGCATATCACATCATAGATCTCTTTCCCTGTATACCTGGGTTCTTCTTCCTTCTTCTTACTTTGCAAGTAGCTACTTAATGAGTTAGCTACCATATACAATGCATCCCCAACTTGACTATCCTTCTTAGCTCTCTTTCGCGATTCTGAACTGACTTCGCCAATAGACTTCTTCCCTTGAGATTTTGAGCCATGTGCACTTGAGTTGCCAAAAGTAGACGCTGATCCGACGTCCTCCATGTCATCTTCATCAGCCATGGATGCATTAGCCTCTGAATAATGCTCTGCCCCATCTCCCACAGCTCTATCTCTTGCACACAACAAGACTAGATCATCCCAATTCTCGATGTATGTGTTCGCATAAGAACGTGCATCAGGGTGATCCTACAAAAACAAAAGCAACCTCAAAGACATTATTGTTAACCCCACATAAGCTTGTAGGAGAAAAATAACAGTGAAAGCATCTTCTGTGATCATTTCGGATTGGTAAGGTAAATAAGCTTCTAGGATCATAATCACATGAAAGACTGACCAAACCAGATTAATTATTGCAGCTTGGTATGAATTTTTAATCATATACAGTAATCTAAAACCTATATGTCAGAGGGAGAGACAGAAGGAATCAAGTTTTACAATGTATAATATATCAGTGAATGAGGTGGAAATATGGCTGAGTTTTTTTATCTAAAAACAAAGCCATCTGAACATGTCCATGCAACTATCTAGATCATTACCTAAATCTACAACTAAATCATATAGCCCCCCGGATATAGATCTTGCAATTTCATTTAAATTAGAACAAACATAATCGCAAAGAAAGTGCAATCCATAATCAGAACAACCATAATCTACAACAACTCGGATATAGATCTTGCAAAGAACACTGAAACTGCACAACTAAAGAATCGCAAAGAAAGTGCAATCCCTGCAGACGAAGTATGAAATTAGAAATATACCAAGCCATGAAATCGCCACTTTTATGGTCCACGAGAAGACAAATACACAGAAAAAAACAACAAAAAAGAAGAAGAGTTCTTCATCACAGATAAAAGAGAATAATATTTACAGTCAGAGATGAACACTGAACACATAATCAGTTATTGAAGCAAAAAACTACCAGGAAGAAGAAGAAGAAAAAATCTAGAGAGAGAGAGAGAATCTGTTTGTTTGGTTTCCCATTTTTTTTTCTGGAAACTCCTATATAATAGACAGCAGAAAGTAGATAGATAATGATGATGAAGTTGACAGTAGTAATTAGCTGATATAGACAAATCAGGAAGAAGAGGAAGGAAGATCGACTTAAGCCAGAAGAAGGTGGTGAGAATATTGTTTTGTTGATCTCTCTCTATAATATTGTATGACTCTGAATTAAGCTGAAATTAATGCCCAACACAACAAAACAGAACAAAACAAAAAGCAGTGTCTCTTACTTAATCAGAACCTAGCTAGCTAGCAAGTTGAAGTAGGTAAGGTAGAAAGAGATGATGAGAGGTTCTAGAGGAACATGCATAAGAGGAAAAGAACCTTACATTGCAATAAGATTGCCAATCACTCATATTATCAGCTGTAACTACGATCATCTTCTTATCTTCATCCCAAAAGCTCAATCCGCTTCGCTTTTGAATATCAGCTATCACTGCATAGCGTTTCTTCCATGCCCGAAGTCGGTTCTTGACATTATCTCTAGTCACATTGATTGCCAAGTCAGTGCGAAGTTGATCCACAACCGCTTGGTATGCTTGCGTCTTCCAGTCTCCATCACCCTTATTCCCTTGAACTATTTGATCCAGTAACACTCGACTTAATATCTTGTCCATCTGTGAATCCCATTGGCGATAAACACGAGATTTACCGGGTAAAATACTTCCTTGTCGCTTCATTCCTACAACAATAAGAACAAACAGGCAGATCACTTCAGCATGCCACTCAAACAAATGAACCCTGAAACATAAATAGCTACTACACTCGGTCAAACTCTATAAATAAATCAATGCAATAAATACCCTGACTATGAAATCTAGTACTGACAACAACCAGCAAGAGTTTCAATCACTTTATACCTGATCAGTGTGCAACAAACCTCATAAACATTGAGTTGATCAGTGTACAAGGAAGCATACACCAGCCGTATAGATATAAACAACAAATGACATACAGAACCAACTGTCTGCTGCAGAATTTGCAGCACTGTTTGCTGCAGAATTTAGATATATAAACAATAACTAAGAGCAATGTTGATTCAGTTACAAGGGCATATCTAACAGAAAATACAGAACTAACTCCGAGCTCTCCGAGCGAGAATTGCTTTATATTGTTCAAACATTTCCTTAGCTAAATTATCTCTAAATAAAGTCCACTCATTGGTTGCCCTCGCTGCCGTGATTTCATCTTCATCAGAGTCATATGAATCGTTATCTAAAGCATCTTCCAACTCTTGATCTACTTCATCCAATAGTGCATCATGAGGACACTCATCACGAATGAAGTTGTGAAGGATACAACAAGCATTGATAATCCTAACTTGAGTCTTCACGTCATAAAAGCCAGCTGCACGCAAAATGCCCCATCTTTTCTTCAACAATCCAAATGCCCTTTCAACGTAACTTCTAGCTAAGGAATGCCTAAGGTTAAATAACTCCTTATAGTTCTTAGGAGTATTCCCTCGCCAAAGTTGTAAATGATATCGGGTCACCCTATAAGGAGCTAAGAAACCAGGCCCGTTGGCATATCCCCCATCCACAAGATAGTACTTATCTACAAATTTAATAAGAAAGAAAAACAGAATCATTAAGTAATCTTTAATAGATAATACCCAAAGAACATTAGATAAGAGTTCACAGAAGCCTACTTTTAGGAACTTTAAGACCATTTTCCCGTGATAGAGCATCACGCAACACTCGAGAATCTGAAGCTGATCCCTCCCAACCGGGCAGAACATAAGTGAACCTCAGATTAGCATCACAAACAGCCAAAACATTTGTACTAATCTTGCATTTTCTACTTCGATATCTAGACTCGTCTTCGGCGGGTACAGTTAAAGGAAGAAAGATCCCGTCAAGAGCTCCAACTGCACCCTACAATATATCTTACTTTGAGTTTTTTAAGAGTAAGAAGTAAGAACCAAAGTTGATTAGACATAAGTGAACTACCTGAAACCATTTCCATTTTTCAGCATCTCCAGAGCTAAGAATTTGTGTGCTTTCTTTGATATAATCACTGCCGATATGTAAAACTGCTCGTAGCACCTCGTGAAAATGTCTACTAATAGTTTCCCCCGAACGGAGGAAAGTAGCTTTAATTGTTCTATTTCGCATACAATGCGCTAAGGTTTGCAAAAAGAATGCAACCATTTCTGAAATAGACACATGCCTTGAAGCAACTAAACCACCCTTATTTTGCAAGATGCGACACAGTTTCTCAAAAGCTTGTGGTTTGATGCGTAATTGCTCAACACAAATTGGTTGAGAAAGTATAGTATCTAAATGATCTCTTCTACGAAAATCTACGCTCAAAATGTTTAGCATATGACTGATTTTTTGCAGGCATAAAGAGGGAACCAATAAAAATTGCTAGAAATACAATTACCAACACAATCAACTCCTCTTCTTCCTCTTCCTCATCTCTCTTACGCTTATACCTAACTATCTCTCTCCTAGTTTCATCCATACTTTGTAAGATATGATCCAGATGAGATTTGTTTTAATTCTGCAAATCCACACATAAAAACTGCATAAGGGTTCAGTTTTAGGCGCAATTATCATTTACTGTATAAAGGAAAAAGAAAACAGGTCACACTAGCTATGGAACTCCTGCAACTCACTTCTCAAAATGATCATATATATAGAGTATAGACTGATGGACATACAATCTAGCAAGAAGTAAAGGTGGGATATGTCCTGCACACTACTCTTAGTTGACCAACTCTTACCATAATAATAATACAGATAAGCTTCAGGCTAGCCTTATTTGCCTTCATCTGGTATTGATATTCTTTGTACTCGTAGTCATCTATGTTCACTTTCTGTTGGAATCAAGAAGTTTAAGTTCTTGTCTCTTATGCTTTACAAGAGCTATGCATTGATAAAATTCAAAACTGACCGATGGACTTCAGAACAACCAGTATAAGAACACATAATAGCATGGTCGTCTACAAGAACAAACAACAATATATATAGCACAAACAAAGAGAACTTGTGACTTATATCATGAAATGTTGCACTAAGGATAATTTGGAAAAATAATAAAACCCAAGATGAATATCTCCATCCCATACAACCTACTAAAACAGACTCGTATCTCATAGCCTGAATACTATAACTATGTGATTTGATACATCTTGGTATGGTTAATATCTACAGCCACACTAACATTAATAAAACAGAATCAAACAATTTCAATTATGCATAGAGTATATGTTCTTCCAAAACGTGAGAATATCATGGTTATGGAATCATCACCAGCTCGTCTGGGAAACCTTTCTACAGAACACCCACTGGAGATAATCATCTCCCTTGTTATTTATTTGATTTTGAAGCACTTTTACTAAGTTATTAATTACATGGCGTCTAATGTTTACAATAGCAAAAGAACCGACAAAATTCCACACAGAAGTTGATCTAATTCTAAACCAGTCCTCTAAACTTTCACATAACAAAATACCATATCTAGAGTTGCCCCAGTTAGCTACCGAGTTTTGATAGGGATCAATCCTGGAGCAAATCTCTTCCAGCATCCTTAGGTAGTACCAGCTAAGTTGAGGTACAATGAAAGGTTTCAATAATACGCAGACAAACGCCACAATAAGAAACCCGAAAACACATATCCACAACCCAAACGCCCAAAACTCATAAACCCATTCAAAGTTAGAACAAATAGTATGAGCAAGGAGCAAAGTCGGCTATAACAGAAGAACAAACTTCCAACTCGCAAATTGAAGCCCAAGGTGAGAACACAGGTGGGTTGGGATGGTGGAAACTTAGTTTGCAGAAGCAAAATCAAATGAACCTAGAGTAGCAAACAAATTGAAACATTCAGCAATCTTTTTACCTTGAGTAGCAAACAAATCGCAGCAGCCAGGCAAGCTAGTGGTCGCCGATGGAGGGCAGAGACCTGCTGGATAAGAAACGAAGTTGATGGTCAGATCTGCGCATTAAGGGTTTGGGTATTGCAAGTTTAGTATTCAGAAGCTGTATCAAACGGTAGCAAATAAATCCAAAGTACGAAATCTCACTTACCTCCAAGATTCGAAGAACACGAAGAAGGGAAACGAGCAAATGGTAGTCGGTGGAGGGCAGGCGAGCTGCTGGTTGCGGATGGAGGGCGGTGGGCAGTGGCGGTGGGTAAGGAGAAGGAGATTAATCGGTGACCATGGTTGCGGATGGAGGGCGGTGGGCAGTGGCGGTGCCAACACGATGGATGGTGGATGAGAAACGAGAAGATGAAGCGAGATGGCGGCGAAGGGAACGATTTGCCTCTGGATACAGCGAGGCTTCAGTCGTCGGATTGTATTTTAGAATCAGTACCGTCCAGCGCGTATTTGAAATATTCTTATTTCTGAAGGCCGAAATACAGGATGGATTTGGGCCAAATTCAAATACTAAATTCATGGGCCTGCCAAACGCTAAAATTTGGAATTTGAAAATTCAAATACAAAATCCAAATACAAATCCAGCTATCCAAACCTACCCTATGATAATTTGGTGAAATGTTATATGTTATAACTTACATGTTAGATGAGATCTGATATAATTAATAAATATATGAACAATATTAACATTCCGACCAACAAACCGAGTTATAAGCTAGTTATATGAAAAAAATCTATCAACTCATTTAATCTTACTGACAGTCCTTCAGTCAAGATGATACACATGAATGAATGTTCATCATTTTAAGAATATAAAATATAAAAATATATCCTTAAATCTCATTTTTATAATGATAATTAAGCCTCATTAAAATGTTATTGGTTAGTTAATTGTCAAGAAAGATAGAGTATAAAAGCTCACTGGAATTCCCACATGACCCATAGATAGTTTGAAACTTAAACTGAAAGCTCACAATCCTACATAAAGGGTTCAATGCTCCCCTTTTAGGATCAGCATGCCACTAATCAAAAAGAAATGGAGAGTTGTTGAATCAATTCAACCATATACTAACAACTCAGCTAAAAGGGAACAAACTCCTTAATATATTTTTATATACATTTTTTGAAGTTATATATATATATATATCTATCATAAATAGGCGGAAAAATTATTTTTATATCTTTTTATGAACAACTAATTATTGTTAATTAAAAATAGAGAACCATTTATCACGATAAATGATAAATTTTATTCAATAATCTATCATATACCTCTACAAAACTACCAAAATAAAAGGGGAACAGATCAAGTCAGTAACTTTATGGTCAGTAACCATGAGTAACTCGTCCACATCAGCATGACATTAGTATCTCTCTCTCTTGGAAATTCTTTTATCTTTTCGCCTTTAATATTTAACGGACGATTTCTCTCTCATTTTAAGTCAAACTTTATATTTTTTTTGCATAGATAAATCAGATTAAATGTGCTCTTTAAAATGATATCCACTTTGATATATTTTTAGTACAAAAAAATTGAATCATTTTTTACCAGTCATTACTGTATGGTATGCTCCTATTTAATACCATATGGTAATAAAGCGTGCCATGATGGTATGAACATACCAATATGGAAAAAAGGTTGAATACATGATAGTAGGAGTATACTAACTGTTATTTACGACTTTCATCATTGTTTACTACACGTTACCACCCACATACCATAGTGGTAAAGTATGGTGATTTTTGGTCTAGTATTTTTTTCATCCAGAAATTTGTAGATCCAATAGATCATGAAGAACTCGTTCCTTCGGAGCAAATGTTTTCAAAAACGACTAAAAAACGAAGAAGTTATCATATGGTATGTATTTGGTAAAAACAAATTCTCGAAATATATTGAAAATTGATCTCATTTTGTAGAGCACAACGAACTCGTTCCATCTGTGCAAAAAAAATTAAAATCCGAGTTAGAACGAAGAAGATAAGAGCCGATTATGAAAACTAGGAAAAATAAAATGTCTTTAATTGACAACCCTTAAATCTGGATTTTCTGGGCCCACTTAGATCTAAAGGTCCAGATTTAGTTACTCATAGGTCAGTAACTAATTGTTAGTAACTAATGGTTACTGACCCTATCCTAAGCCAAATAAAAGAGGGGAAAAAGAAAGCCTACGTGAAGGAGGACTTTTCACTTTTAAGAGAGGAAACTAAAAAAATACAAAAAAAAATCTCAAATAATCTCTCACGGTAGAAAAAAAAAACTACCGGAAATAGGAATGGCAATAGGACAGGTTCGGGGCAGGTATCATGATACCCATACCCGCCTCGTGGCAGGTCGGTCTAGGACGGGTAATTTATCATGGATCGCGGGTCGGGGCAGGTCGACCCAATTGGTATGCAATTTATATGAAAAACATTAAAAATGTTCATTAATTTCATAATAAGACTAAGAAAATAAACCATATTATGATAAATGTAGTTAAATTATTGGAGAAATTGAGGTTTTCACTAATTTATAACTTTAGGAATTTGCTACAGTGACATGCATGTCACCGTAACTTGCACTTTTAGGTAGACCTTATATAGGATTTGATCGACCTAATCTGCACTTTTAGGTCGACCTTATATAGAATTAGGTCGCCTAATATGTCGTTTCAGTTTTGTGAGGTTCAACGACGCGGTTGACCTTTTATAGCAAATGGTCGACCTCTTTGGAGCGATGTGGGTGGTTCTTTTGTTTGTACAAATTACGTTTCAAACAAATAGAATCAGTCATAAATAATGATAACAAGGACTCATAACTTCATAACATAACAACTAAACAAGCTAACAAGAAATACAATAAAACACAAATCATAATTGTTCACAAATAACTAAAATCTAAAATCACATAATATCAAACCACAATCGTTTTTTACACTTAACAATAAAAACACACAATCTAAAATCGGCGAATTACTACTCATGTCCCCTCTTTCCCTCATCCATATTTTCTTCATTGATGTTGCTAGCATTATGATAGTCGGAAGTTACGGTGACATGCATGTATCTTCCACTAAAAGATCGAAACTCCTAAGTAATTTAACTAAGATTATATGAAATTTAGGCAAGAACGGGTCGAGAATGGGGCGGGTCAGGGCAGGTCGGGTAGATGAGAGTACCCATGCTCACCCCAAAACAGTTCAAACAGGTCGAGTAAAATGGGTCAGGTCAAAATTGCCATTCGTAACCGAGAAAAAAAGGAATCGTTGAACTTTGAAGGAATGAAATAAAGAAAGATACAATTGCCAAGACATCGTTTCAATTTTGGGGTTGGGGGAGAGGGTAGAGAGACAGAATTCTAATGGGAGGAGGAGGAGAGTTAAATGTTGACATGGAGGCATGTCTGGCAATAGATTTTGAATCCCAACACAGCAGTTTGGGAAAACGCTTAAAGATATTTTTAGATAGATTAGATAATAGGGTTAATATCTTATTTTGGCCGGAACTATACCTATATAATCAACTTTGGCCAGTGGTTTCGGAAATTTCCACCCTGGCCTCAACTATACATCATATAAACTCAATTGGCCCGACACGTCGTTTGACCGTTAAGTTGGACGGTTAATATCGTTGACGGTTAGTCAATGGTCCAGTTCACTGCCAAGTCAGCACAAAACCAATAAATATATATTTTTATTTTTTTTATCCAAAGCCTTCCGTTCGCTGCTGCCATTCAACATCAATCGATGCAGGAGTAGTCCCTTCAGAGGAAGGAGCCATACCCGTGTTGACCTTGGAAGATTTCCTCGACAAAGATTGGTCTTTTCTCGATTCGCAAGATGCACATCAAAACATCAACTGGATAATCACTGCCGGAGGAATCACTGAGACAGCGAAGGTTTTAGTTTCGATGAGTTCAGAATGCTTTCATTGTGATACATCCCCTTGTGTGCTTTTAATATCCCGGAATGCTTTCATTGTGATTCCTTACACATTCTATCTCCTGTTGTTGTGTGTTGGATCTTGGGTAGGTGTGAGAGTGTTGATTAGCCATCCACAAGGGAGGGAAAGCTGGAGCAGCAAATGTTGGGATGAATAGCTTTGAAAAGCTATAAATGAAATTCCTAATTAATTTTCCAGTATTTTCCCATAATATGAAAATAAGATGGATAATTAATAAAAGGAATATTATGGAGATAATTAGGATTAATCTTAAAATCTTACAATATATTAAAGGGGTTTGGAAAAACCACCCCTTCCACGTAAGCCTTCCAGGCTTCCCCGCGTTTCTCGCTATTTAGGAGTATTTTATATTTAATATATTTTTTCCTTCCTGACTCCAGTTACCTTCTCCTTTTTATTGTGATTTTGCTATTTTTTAGTTTTCCGTTAAGGCATTGAGAGAGGAGAGAGATTGTAGATTGTGGAGATATGGAGAGTAGAAAAACTATAAGTTAATTTATTATTTATAATTATTAGTTAGCACTATTTATCATCCATAAGAAGTATTTATTTATCTAATTAAGAATAATTGTTTACACCAAAAAATTGTTTACACATTCAATTAATAATACAAATTGTTTTTTTAACTATTCATAATTACTATTTGTTTTAGCCATGCAAAATTTAAGAAAGTCAAAAGACTTTTGGATTTGATCCAATGTTACCTGGGTTGGGTTCTCACGAAAAACTATTTATATGAGAATTTTTTGGTAATTTATTATATGCGAAAATTTTTCATGTGTAAGTTCTCGCTATATCATAATTTCAATATCTCAATTCTCTCAAGTTTAGCAGAAAAACTATCTCAATTACGAAGATATTAACGTTTGCTATGTCAATTTTTTTAATTTATTAAGTGTAAATCCAGTAAAGAATATATAAACATGTAAGGAATCATTAAGATTCAAAATCACAACCAATAAGTTCCAAATCATAATTTATAATTAATTAAAAACTCCATTTATCTATACATATCCCTATGCGTACAAAATAATCTATAAATTTATCACAAGTTCACAATAAGATTAATATTATTCGAATGTGTTTTATACTTCTTAATTAATTGTTGATATTGAGTAAATATGAGATGAATTTAGGCTGAATTCTATGCTAGCAACACAAATTTGTAATTACAAATCAATTGTGTCAACTTAATATATTATGAATTGAAAATATATTTTTGTTATTATTATTAATATTAAAAGTTACCCGGCCAATGGCCGGGAATAAAGTAAAGCTAGTATATTAAAGAGGTTTTAGAATTAGACCTCATCCACGTCAGCCTTGGAGGCTTCTCCGTGAGTTTCGGAAAACTGCCTTTTATTTTAGTTATTTTATTTCTTTCTTGCGAATCGCTTCCTACAGGCTGCAACTTCTGTCTTTCATCTTCCGCTGAGTCTCCCTGGAAAAAACGACTCCTCAAGTTCTCCTTATCAGCCCCCTAATATCCTATTTCTCGCACTCTCTCTGACTCTGACTCTACCCCCATTGGACAGCCTTAGTTTCATTGTTGGACCCTTCCCTTCCGATTACCATTTGCCACATCGATTCGACTTCGCTATGACACCTGGGCTTTTCTCTTTCCGCAACTTCTCGCAGTCGATTTTCCCCTGCTTTCACCAAGAACTCTTACGATGCCTCTCCTTGGACAACATACAGTTTACGGCCACTCGATTTCCCCATAATCAATGTCAATTTTGCGTTCATAGGTGTTGCTGTAAACTCCGCCGCTGCAATTGCTCAGAGATTGCGACCGCTGCAGTTTCCAACCTTCCGCCAACACGCCATCATGCATCAGCCATGAGAAACTTCTTCACTCCGAGTGTAGTTGTGATGCTTTCAATTCCGTCGATGCTGGGTACTTTTGTTTATTGTAACGTGTTCCCTTCAATCCTCATGATTTCCTCTTTCGGAAAATTGACCAATAAAACAACGTCCAAATCTTAATGTCCCATTATGCACTTCTTCAATTGATCTCTGCATTATTTCTTCATTTCTTGATACGCAGGGATGCACAATATGCTATTCAAAGTTCACCGTCTTCATTTCTTCATTCCTACATGGTGGACAGGACAATATTATCATCACATCCAGGCTTTTATCAATGATTTCTCATAATGTCCGTGAGCCCTTCCTCTACCAAATCCAGGGAAAAATCATGAACGATTACCCATACTGTATTGATTTTCTGGTCACTAAGTTGTTTGCCTTTGCTAAATTCTGTATTCGGCCTCAATGATGAATCTTGCTCTTCCTTCGCCACCTAGAGAAGGTTTATGGTTTCATCTACATTGGTTGATAAAATGGCTTCACCTTTTAGCTAATCAAACCTTCACATAATATATATTTGAAATAATTGGTGGGAGGTTTTTTTTAAAGGTTTTTTTCAAGAGAACTAAAGACGAATTCATTGTATTAATTGGAGATGACATGAAAGGAAAGATGGTAAGGGTAATTGAAGAACACCCACAAAAGAAAGCGTACGGACATTTATCTGATTTTCTAATCCACATAGATGAGTGAGTTTATAATGTTATGTATTCCAAAAATACACAATTTGCTCTATAATTAGATGGTCTAAATGAAAAAAAAAAAAAAAACCCTTCCATATCCAAATCATCTATTAGAAATTATGTTTATTAGTTAAGGAATTGAAGTTGAGTTTTATAAAAGAAGAGTACAATAAGAGGAATTTCAGTGCGACAGGAACAACGTGGCAATTCAACAATCCCGGCAATATCAATCTCGGCCAACGGCCGGGCACAATGCTAGTTATCTTAATAGATTATATTTAATTATTGGAGTAATTATCTCTCTAATTAAAATGTGACTTATTCCAAAGAAAGATGGAATATTCTGGGTTTTTTGCTCCTATAAATAGCAGACCCCCCGACCCTCTAAACACACCTCAGAGAGTAGAAACACGAGAGAGAGTGAGATTCAAGAAGCTCCGGTTGTTCGCACAAAATCGCTGAGCAAATCAAAAGAGTGGTTGTTTTATTCTAGAGGCGATCGGCTGATAGTCTGCAGTGCCGCGAACGTCTTAAAGAGTGCGACCTAGTCCGCGACTCACCCAAATCGGTAATCCTAATTTTTCTGTTTGGTTTCTAACAACAAATGAGAGAGTATCAAGAGCTCCGTGATCGTTCGATCGAGGTTTGTGGATAAGCCAAGGTTCTATCTTGTTGTTCTACTATTTGCTGGCGCAACGGAGTCGTCGAGGAAGAAGGGGGGAAGAAGAAAGGTTAGGGTTCAATTTGGGTTTCCTCGATTTAGAAAGAAGGGAGGGGATAAGCTGGGGATGAGTGGCCAAAATTTTTTTTTTTGCTTTATTTATTATATTATTAATTAGATAAAGGAAACAATAAAAAAATTAATTTGTTTTGTTTTGTGCTAACCGTCCAAATTGACTACCTGAATCATTGACTAACGGTCAACGGTGTTCACCGTCCAAATTAACAGTCTACAATAGATAATAATACAAACAACGAAAACCTAGATAATAGGGATATTGTTCGGGCCAAAATAAGGTATTAACCTACATAATAATACAAACAACGAAAACCTTCACAAATCACAGCCTACAAGTGCGGGCGAGATTATAATTCACAAGCCCTGGCGTTAACAATAATCGCCTCCTCTCCTTTGTGCACTTTGATATTTCATTAAAACAGAGTGGCCAACGCAGAAACAAAACTCCCTATTCTCATCATATGTTGCCTCAACAAAATCTCCATACATTCTGATTGATCTGCAGCAAACTCAAATCCCCGGCTTCCATCTATCGAGTCTTAGCAAGGTCTTCAATCGAATGCTCTTGTTCCAAACCAAGGTAACAGTCGGAAACTAGCATCAACTTCGTGCCCTGTTCAGTAATATTCCACTTCAGTTAGCAACCTAACGCCGCAATCAGCTGGTTAATGCTTCAACAGAAAAGAAAACACTCGGTGTGTTTATTCTGGCTAAAATATAACAAGTAATCTTATAAAAACAGTTTAAGCAATAGTTTATTAAATTCTTCATCAATTATTCACCCTAAACGCCACATATTCTTTAGATCAAAAAGTCCCATCATTTATTAAATTTCAATCGCCCTTTCCAAAAGAAAAATATTCTTAAAATATATACTTATAATAATTATCTCACAAAACTCGGTATTTTCATTGTTATTAAACAGCATTAATTACTTTTTTTATTACTTAAAACATCTCATGTCTCATTCAGCCAACCTTTTCTCAAACCAACCCAGACATCTTTTTCTCTACTTCTGAAACAGGAAAATGGCACTTATTTTGCGAAACTGATAAACAATTACCCTGTTGATGTAAAAGTAATCCTCTCTGGTCCTTTTCTTAACAAAAAAATCATACCAGAAACAAAACTGGATCTTGTTCAGCAGCAACAAAAGGGCAATTTGCATTACCTGAATAGAAGTCAAGGATGGTGGCAACTCCATATACGTCGCCAAGCGATCAGTGAAAGAAACTCTCTTCAAAGCATATAGTTCAGAAGTTCTTACGTTGCCAAGAACTAACCACCATGCTTCATCTTTTATCTGTCAAAACCCATAGAAGAAGTTGCATTGCGGCTTCTCTTATAAACCAGCTAATTCAAAATGAAGAATACTCGAGACTTTTACCTTTGGAAACCTAGGGGCGAAAGCCCTCGAAGAACTTTGCCTGAAGTTGGTCTTCTCCAATCTTATGTTCAGCGCATGAGATGTTCTACCACCAGTATCCTTCTTCTGGAGTCTTAACTTGACTTGAATGCGAGGGAAACGCTGCAGATCCTGTTAAAAGGAAAACACATAGGGCCAGAGAAGCGCGAATCTCAGGCACATTATTCATTTAACTGTAAGCCCATGCCCATCACATGCATCATTATTCAAATTATTCTCTACCCGCCACCTTGAAGAACATTCAACCTCTTTCCAGTTGCTAAATCTATACCATATGATTCTCAAGCAATGCTACAACTCTCTGACCTGTTGAGTGGGTAATAGCACTTATCAACCTACGTCATTCCTTCACAGAGGAACGCTCTACAATTATTACTAAACTATGATGATTAGAAACAATATCATGGCGCTATTCAGCATTCACCATGCAGATTTTACAAAAATATTCAAAATATGTTCTACGAAATGCACCTGGTATAATCTCGAGACAGGGAAACTTCCAATCACAGCCTGCAAGCTCGACTTAGGAAGATCCAAAAGTTGCTGTACAGTGGAAATCCCCTGTCTGCTTAACACAGAGAAAAGATCTGCGTTCATACATGGCAGCATCCACAAGGCAGAATCCCGATCAAACCATAAACCCTGACCAAATGAGAAAAGTCATGAGAAAACCCTAACTGTTTTTGTTAAAAGTGAAGAAGATACTTAGATACATATGACCTGGTGGAACCATCATCTAGCTTATTGAGGCTCAATAGCTAAATACATGGCAATTGAATCATGAGCCGAGATCATAAAGGATTCTATCTATAAGACCATGAAATTAAAAAGAATCTTCTCCATATAAAAAAAGGCAGGTGGCTGCTCTACTTCAAGCTCAACTGTCACTTCCATGAAAGAGAAGCGCTTGCTACTAGCATATTAATATCTAAGTGGCTCATCTTCGGTAATATGAAATCCAGAAGGTAGAGTAGAAGAAATGCCTGTCAGAGAATACCTGCATCACCATTTGCAAAAGATGCATGCAAGTTATGGAGCTTGACAGCCATCCACTGTTGGCACATATATCTATCATAGCTTGGATGACCCGTATACTTTGGTCCAACACCGACTTTAAGTCGGTAACATAATCACTAATTGGTAAGTCTAGCTGAGAAAAATGTGCCTGTTAACACAAAATGATATGATAAGAGACATAGGAAAATGAAATGTGAACAAAAGAAAAAGATCAGTAGAATATGTAGGTCAACCATGCTATTCCCTCACCAAAACGTCTTAAATCTTAAAACAATATTATTAAAGGGCTTTTTGTTTGGAACCCCTGCTGCGTACTCCTTACTAAGATTTTATGCGGCCACGTCAGTCACTCTATTTCCCCCAACTCTAACGCTCCATTTTCTTTTCCTCTCTGTCCCCCGACCCCCGCTATTCCACCATGGCGAAAATAACATATTCAAGCCCAACTACTCCTCCATTGCTGTCGCTTCTTCCCATCTTACTCACGACACATCTCAACACCGATTCTGCACCATCATTTCAACCCTGCTGGCAATTTAATTTGCCATTCAATGCCTCGATTCTTCGCCTAAGGCTTGCTTCTCTGCCTCTGTTACCCTCCCCTGAATCATTTTCCCTTATAATCAAATTTCAATTTCCCATAGGTTTGCCCCAACCACTCTCAAATCTCAATCACTACTAGCGAAAGTTCTTATCAGATACAACCTCTATGAAGCGACACAAGCAGAGGTAGGCTGGGATTTCATGCGAATACAATAAATCCATGGTGAATTAATCCCAGCCAAAGGCCGGGGCACAAAGCTAGTACCTGAAAGAGTAGATTTGCTTTGACGTGAGGATCATCAAGAGAATTCTTGTCCACCAGATACGGCACTCTCTCTGATAGGGCCTCATTATATTTTTCCTATTGAAGGAAAAATCACACGAGGGAGAGACTTTTCATGAGTGTGCTCCAAAGAATCAAGATTTGTCAAACACAAAGGAATTAAACAAGCCAGTCAGTATAATTAATCGGGGCACATCGTAACAGTTTTCAATCCGTTGTGCCCACCAGAACACCCAGAGCATCTAGAACTTAAGAACATGCCATGGCACATCAGCAATCATAAAGTGCTAATAGGAACGATCCCCGGCAACCATTGCAATTCAATAACTGAAATGTCAGACACAAGACCTCTTGCATTTAAGTGATAAACAAAAGATAAAAAGTTATTCCCACCAAGAAATATGAGGCAGAAAAATTGGGCTTAAAGATTTAAGTCAGATCCTCATTTGATTGGAATGTTTCCATGACTTTTCACTTCCACCTATTTTCCGCATTATCTTTCTAATTTAGTCCGTCCACCTTTTGATGTCTTTCAGATATCAGGCATGCAAGAGAAAGACTCTTTACCATGCTACATGACAAAGTAAACAAGCACAGAAAGTTCAGTTCTGTCCAAGGCAGCGATAACAATGCAATAAAAATCAAGCCTCCAACTATACTCTGTTTGATGAGAATAAATCAGCATACACAAACAAAATAATGTACCTCATTATGCCGCACTGGGAGCTCGTCGTATTCTG